TATATATATATATATATCACATATGTATATATATATATGTATACACACAGACACATATATATATATATCATATGTGATATATATATATATCATATGTGATATATATATATATCACATATGTATTTATGTATATTTATTTATAGATATAAATATATATATATGTATATAAATTAAAACACTGATGAACCAGATTCTACAAAAACATTACATTTAAATTTTTATAGGTTTTCATCATCATTTGATGTATTTGCACTCATTGTGTCTACTTTTAATGTTCATTTTTTAATGTGTGGTTTCCTTTCTTGTTCACATATATACATTTTATTTTTAGCTTTGCTTTAAAGTTCTTGTTTTGTGATTTGTACATTCGTGAGTTAAAATAAAGTTGAACTGAAGGTCGTCTCTTTTCTTTAAACATGTTTGAGGGAAATATTCCTGAGATCCAATAGTTTTGTCTTTTTATGATTTTCAGCTGAGTTAACAGTCATTAAAGTGAAAACAGGATTTCATGATGAAGCTGGCACCGTCTTTTTTTTTTTTTTTAAATCTTCAACGCTCTGCTGGTCTCGCACGACACTGCCCGCAGTCACACGATCCTCTCCTCCGGAGAGGAGGAAGCTGGGAGGCTCATCCTCCCAGCTCCAGCTCAGCTGGTGACTCAGAGGCCGTTCCAAGACTCCAGCCGAGTGTAATCATGAAGGTCCGACCCGCGCAGACAGGCGGGCAGAGACGGGTCTGCGACGAACGGTGGAAGCGATTTTAAAAAACATTTTACGTGTAAAAAAAAAAAAAAAATCATTTTTAAATCGCTTCAGCATTTTTTTAAAACATTTTTTGTATAAAAACAAAATGTTATTTTATTTAAAAATCGCTTCCAGCGTCCGTCCCAGACTGTCCAGTCCGCCTGACTGCCGGGCGGGATCGGGATTCCGCCTTCATGATTACGCGCGGCCGGGGTCTCGCAACGTCCATCTGCGAGTCCCCATCTCCAGCTTCGCAGTGACCTGCGGAGCTCTGAGCACACAAGGCTGGTATCCAGAACCCGAGCCTCCGAGTCGGCACATCGAAGGATCTTCCGCGGTGACCAGCTGAACTTGGAGCCGGGGAGATGACGCCCTGCCCGGCCTGGCGCTCCAGGCTCCGGAGGGAGGATCGGGGTGCACCAGCAGAGCTCCATCCAGCTTGCTCTGAATTATGTTGTCGGCCACCAAGCACAAAAAATGCCAGCACATCAACATTAGACCAAGATGTTGTCAGTATTGTTTTTAAAATCTTTAAAATAAGTCCAGCCGCTCCTCCAGTCCGAGAAATTGCAAATGGCGGATTATTGTTTTGAAACGTTTCTGAAGGATCCAGTGACTCCGCCCCCGACTCCGCCCCCGACCAACCAGTGACCGACAGTGTACTGACGTCACGTTTTTGTACCTCTTGTACCGGTTAGAACCACAGAGCCAAGGGTACTGAAAATAGTAACAGGTGCTAAGTACCGGTACTAATGGAAAAGCCTCAGAACCGGGCCAAGTAGGGTCGAGTCGGCCCGTACCGGTACTAATGGAAAAGGGGCAATAGTGGCCTCCAGCAATTCTGAATTGTTGGTCAGCAGCAGGAAGCATGAAGTGCTCTAAAACTTCCTGGTAGACGGCTGCATTGACCTTGGACCTCAAAACACAGTGGACCAACACCAGCAGATGACATGGCATCCCAAACCATCACTGACTGTAGAAACTTGACACTGGACCACAAGCAACGTAGACTCTGTGCCTCTCCTCTCTTCCTCCAGACTCTGGGACCTTGATATCCAAAGGAAATGCAAAATTTACTTTGAGCAGAGAACATAGCAGCAGTCCCAGGCGAGACGCTTCAGACACTGTCTCTTGTTCAAGAGTGGCTTGATACAAGGAAAACAACAGCTGAAACCCATGTCTTGCATACGTCTGTGCATGGTGGTTCTTGAAGCACTGACTCCAGCTGCAGTCCACTCTTTGTGAATCTCCCCACATTTTGGAATGGATTTTGTTTCACCATCCTCTCCAGGGTGCGGTTGTCCCTATTGCTTGAACACTTTTTCTACCACATCGTTGTCTTCCCTTCGCCTCTCTTTTAATGTGCTTGGACACAGAGCTCTGTGAACATTCAGCCTCTTTAGCAATGACCTTTTGTGTCTTGCCCAATTGTACAAGGTGTCAATGGTCGTCTTTTGGACAACTGTCAAGTCAGCAGTATTCCTCATGATTGTGTAGCCTACAGAACTAGACTGAGAGACCATTTAAAGGCCTTTGCATGTGTTTTGAGTTAATTAGCTGATTAGTGTGTGGCACCAGGTGTCTTCAATATTGAACGTTTTCACAATATTCTAATTTTCTCAGATACTGAATTTGGGTTTTTTGTTATAATCATAAACATTAAAAGAAATAAGCATTTGAAATATATCGGTGTGTGTGTAATGAATGAATATAATATACAAGTTTCATTTTTTGAATGGAATTACTGAAATAAATCAACTTTTCATGATATTCTAATTTTATGACAAGCACCTGTGTACCACTTTTTGAACTTATATGATACACAGGCTTGCCACATACGCGGTTGGTCAGCAGCGGCCGCGCATTCTGATTTGTTTAGTTTGTGCTTCGCGCGCACTCTCCACCGCCGCGCTGCTGTGATTTGAGTTCAGTGACAAATGTTTACAAGTCTGAGTTAACGCCGCTCTCTCAAGGCAGACCGAACACTTTAATCCCTCGAGTTGTGGGTTCAACAACAAAAACTCACCGGCAGTTTGGGTTTCCTCTCACATTCACAGAAGTGACAGTAGAACCGTTGTGGCGTATCCGCAGCCTCCGCCATGTTCAGGGGGAAAAAAGTAGTCCCCGACGTCGCTTCGACCATAAATGTCTCCAGCGGGATGGTCCAAAGGGAACTGATCCAGAAGACCCAGAGAAGGTGACTCGAGTTGGTCTTTGGATCGATTACGCGATCAACACCGTGACTGAGAAACAATCAGCGCGGAGCCATTTGACCCACCTCAGTTTAGTAGCCTTTGGAAAGATTACTTGCGAACCGTTAGCCCAACTAGGCATGGGACAGGTGTTGTGCCAAAAAGTGATGGTCTGCCAAAAATCGATTGGCGCCGCGGGAGCGCGCACAAGACAACACCTGTTGGCAGACTATCACTTTATGGCACAACATCGGTCTTCAAGCGTTCCTTTCGTCTGGGAGCCAGATAAATAAACAAATAAGTAAACAGTAAATCTGTTTACAGATGTTAAACTAAACAGGTGAGACTGTGACAGAGAAGAGCTGGGGATTTTTTTTATTTTTTTTTTGTTCCTGCAGGGAACGCGATCATATAACCACTTAAAAAACGTCGTTCAATGAAATGAACGTGAATCAATGGTTTCTGAAAAGAACACGAAAAATACCAATTCAAATATAAAATGCTAGCTAAATGTAGCACAATGCTAAAAAAGCAAAAGGCAAAATAAAAAGCTGAAACTACGACTATAGCTAAAAGTTTAAAGTATTAAGCGCTAAAAGGAATACAAAGCTATAGTTAAAAAGGAACAAGACTAGGTAAAACAAAAGTAGGAAAATGGTAGTTAGGCACTACAAGTAGCAAAAATGCTAAAACTAGCAAAAGGCTAATAGTTAAACGTATCAAAGGCAAACTAAACGCTAAAATGAGCAAAACACTAGTCTAAATGTATCAAAGGGCTAACTAAAGGCTAAAAGGTGCAAAGGACTAGCTAAAAGTTAAATGTATCCAAAGTTTAATAGCTAAAAAGGAGTAAGCTGCAAGCAAAATGGTAGCTATAGCTAAAAGGCTAAAAGAAAAGTAGAAAAAGTTAGCTAAAAGGAACAAAACACCAACCTAAAGTATCAAAATTGTGGCTTGAAACCAAAAGTAGGAAAAGGATAGCTAAATACTAAACATAGCAAAAGGCTATAAAAACCAAAAGTAGCAAAACACTAGCTCAAATGAGCTAAAGTGAGTTTTTTTTCCTACTCTTCTAACATTGTCCTTTTTCTGGTAAACGTTCTGTTGGTGCATTTCCCCCGATGACGGCACTTTTTTTAGACAATTTTCCTAAAACTGAAGAAAAGTTTTAGTTGAACGTGTCAAACAAACAAAAAAAAGACAAAAATCTTTGCTTCAATCTGTTGTTTCCCTGGTAGTTCCTTTTAAAAGATATTAGGATAATCACTGTGCTAAAACTATTTGGCTAATTTACAACGTACTTAGAAAATATCCTCTTAAAAAAAAAAGTTTATTACTCTGACTTTTGGATAAATTGATAACAGCAGCAAATTGTGAAAGCATGACACTTTCATCATAAAAACCAAGAGTTATGTTACAGATTACATTAAGCACAACCAAAACAGGGACAGAAACTTAAAACAGTTCACAATCTTTGTAATAGGAAATGATTTGGCAATGCAGTTAGTAAGTATTCTCATTTATAACGATAAATTAACTTAATCACACATAAGCAAAAAAAAAAAGTGCAGTTACAGAAAGCCTTAAATATAATCATTTTAATGTGCAGCTTCCTTTTGCACTTTTCCAAAAACACAGATCATAATAGTTTTTTAAGCAAGTGAACACAAAAGCAAGTCCTGTCCAAAATAGTAGCATTTATCAATTTTTTTTTTTTTTTTTAGGACTGCACCACCTCAGCGGTTTTTCAATCAGTCTTTATGTTTTGGCTATTTCAGTATGGCAATATCTCATGTATGATTTCAAAGTTAGACACGACCGGAAGGTTATTAAATAGACTTGGCTTCTTTAATATGACTCTCCATCAAGCTGAACGCACGCTCCTCGTCCCTCCACGGCCACTCGGTCCACTTCTATTGAGGTGCGGTGAAGGCCCCCTGGGCAGCAGAGGCAGCTGCTTGGCGTACGGCCTGGTTGGACATGACTCCGGTGGCGAACTCCGCCTGCGCCTTCTGAAAGCTGGCCTCGGTTTGCCTGTACATGCTGTGGACCTGGAGCAACGAGGAGCACAGGATGTCGACACCCGATACATGTATCAGTTCATCGTTATACTCTGTGAGTGAGAAAATGATACCCTCAACCTGATATTGTGGCTTTTATTTGGGGTGGTTGTTTACTGAATAGTTGATCGAAGCGAAAAGCAGGGAGAGTTTTTGTACCGAACTGCTAACAAACGTGTTAAATCAGCTGAACAGTTTGAATGTAACATTTAACCAACAATAGATTTGACGAGTCGGAGTCAAAACGACTCAGACAGAGCACAGTCTGCAGTTCAAAAAAATATAAAAATACATTTTTTAATAATTGAGATTAGTGTAAAAATTACTCCATTAAGACGCCATCTAGTAATCTTAAAAACTAAAATAGGATACATGTTCATAATCTACCTTTAAACTGTAATTTTCTAACAGGTATGTCTTCAGAAATAATTCAGTTTCCTTTGAAATGGATTGTTTTTCCCTCTGTCGGCCGACGTAGCGCCAGGAAATCCCTTTGTATAATGTTTGATGGTATTGTAAACCTTGTGGATTCCCCCTTTTTTTTTTAATTAAAAGGCTGGATTTTTTTTTATGGCTTTGTTCTAGACCCATAAAATTCAAGTGTTCTAACCGGCACTCTTGTAAACAAAAGTAGCTTGCTGCCATAGATCGCCTAATTTTAATAAATTATGTATCATTTTGAAGCTTTCCAGGGGGATAGTTTAAAAAGAAAAACTCACTATTGGACTATTCATTACTGTGACTCATTTGGGTTTATTGCCAGTTTTATTATTAAAGCCAAGCGTGTTTGAGTGTATTTTTGGTAGGTGTATATATGTTTTAATGCGCTAATCTGACAGAACCACACATACTTTTCATCGCAGAGTAGTTCTGGCCTAAACCAGGGTCTTTAAATGGTACTATAATTTACAAACTATATATATGACTGATGATGGAAAACTTGAAAGTAGGGGCTGAATCCAACAACTTGTTAGGAAATTGGTCACCTGATTAATAACGCTTCAATAAAAAAAAAAATTGTTTTTCCTCAAATTTACTTATTTTACCAGTCGTAAACTCATTTATGCACATTAACACAAAGGTTTTTATCACCGTTTACAGCTTTTATACAGTATGTTATAGTATATTCATAGTATTTTCTAAGCATGTATAGTTGTACATTAGCTAAAGATGGGAGGACAGAAACTTGTATTTTCTTTTATTACAATAAAAAAGGCTAGATTCTGAGTAAATTCTTACATAGCGAGCACGTTTAGTTCATGGGTCTGCAACCTGTGGCTCTGGGGCCACATGCGGCTCTTTAGTCTCTCATCTGTGGCCCTTTGAAGCTTTGACCAAAACTAACCTGCATTTATTATTTTTATATATCCACAACAGAAAATGTGAGTTTTAGCAGTTTTTTTTTTTTTTCTCTTCTTCTGGTCAATTTTCTGTAAATTTGTGAAAGACGCTACTAATACAAGGAGCGAAACATGTTGATTACATTTAGCTACTTCCTTTATCCAATCTACAGACATACATCTTTCTCTCAAAGAAAATAAATCAATAACTTGTCCGTGCCTAATTTTTCTGTACACTTTAAATTTATGTTTTATTACTTCAAAGTGGTATACTTAATTTTAAATCAGATAAAAAGACATAAGCCTGCAGAGACTCAGTATAAACAAAATTTTTCCCTACTTTTGGTCTTTACTCTTAAAAAGTAAAAATATCAATAAATGTAAAAATTCATTATATATTTTTAGTTTTTATAACATCACCCCAACTGGCCAGAAAGGCCCTCCTCCAATGACCACTAAGTGGCCCATGGGCCACCACTTGATAAGCAGGTTTTGCGGCTCCAGACACATTTTCGTGAGAGAAGTGGCAGAAATGGCGCTTTCGATCAAAAAGGTTGCAGACCCTGCCACTGATTTTCCCTCTAAGGTTTGTTTCTGATTAGCACAAACGCTACGTTTTACAGTTGTGCTCACAACTCCGCCACCTTCTGACAATGCTGCATAGAAAAGTGCATTCTCTCCAAACCATATGATGGATTTAACCCAATATGCGTTTGTCATGAACTTTTCCTAACCTCAAGTTTAGGTAATGAAAATATAATTACTGTAATATAAAAACACTTGGGACGCTTTTGACCATTCTGACCTCCATGTAAACCCTGAAAACTGAATCACAGCTGGGGTCAGGCACAGAAATAATCATAAACTAGATCAAACCGAATAATAACGTGCAGTGAGATTCAGTTAACGGCTCATTTAATCCACCTCTCGATCCGGTTTGTTCCACTAAAAACATGACGCACGTTTACGCTCCTACATATAGGGGAAGCCCCTCACCTTTTTCAGCAGGACGATCCCCATGGCGGTCTGGGCACTGAAGCAGATGGCATTTATAATCATGATCACACCAACTGCTTTACTTCTGCTCAGAGCAGCCAGGCTCACAATCCAACCACTATGGGGGAAAAGAAGGCGATGTAAAAATACACGAGGGTAAAAGTGCGATGATGACTGCAGGTGTAAATAATATTTAATGCCGTTTACAGGTTGTGGCCTACGGTAATAATCACTTAATTGTTCTGGTTTACAAGATACCAAACAATTTAGCAACAGCACATTATTAAAAGCTATAAATCAGGTGAAAAAAACATATTTATCAACAAAATCCTGATCTCGAGGGTCACCGCAGCTATAAGAGCTGTAAAACAGAGTTTAAGGCCTCATGTCACAGATTATAGGGACGCAAATCCAACTGTTTTGTTACTTTGTTCGTTTATCAGTCGTACCTGAAGCCTGAGTTTGGGATGCCGATGGTCATGATGATAAAGACGCCCACTTGGGCGAAGAAAATGAAAAAGAAGAAGAAGAAGTTGAAGGAGCTGTCACTCCTACAGGGTGGGGGGAGGAAATGTTGCGGAGTTAAACAAGTTTAGTAACATTATGACAATCGAAAGAAACGTGCTGCGCATTTGATCGGCACGGTTCAAAAATGCTTTACTACGAGACGCTGGTAGGCACCTGAAGGCTTTGTAGACGGGTCGATACCAACAGACGAAGGAGCAGGGGGTGAAGAGGAGGGCCCAGAGGATGGAGAGGCCAAAGCCAGAACCAGTGCTGGTGTCCGTACAGAAGTAAGCCAGCGAGGAGATCAGGTTGAAGCAAAGCGTGAAGGCGCAGACTACAAACCGGAGAAAATATAAAAATTTTAAAAAGACCGTCAGATAAACAACAAGGTGGAGGAAAAAAATAACCAGCAATAAACACTGCATCGACATTTATGTCACTCTCCAATAAAACAATTTGAGAGGAGTTTTGCTGATGCGAGAAAACGCAATTTGTTAGGGGATTTTTGCCCTGTGATAACTTTAAATTAATTATTTTATGTCTTGAGGTTAAGACACGTGCCGACGAAGAAAAAGTCAATTTTACATCACTTTTCAGCTGTTCTGAACTATCCTTTGACAATATTCTGTAAGTTTGCAACTTATTAGAGAAATAACTTTATAATTTAAACAGTTAAAAAGGACTAAAATACTATGCAACTGTTTAAAGTTTGCTTTCTGCTGTTTAAACTTGTGACAAGACACTTAAATAATTGCAAATACGTCAACAAAACATCTACAGAAAGGGCTACAGCTCAAAAAAGGATGTAAAAAGACAAGATAGAACTTTATTGATCCCGCTGGAAATTGTTGTAAAAAAGCAACATATTTAAATTTTACACTATTTTTTCTGCACTTACAAACAAGCCACAAGTACCGTATTTTCCACCGTACACATCACTCTGCCCTATAAGTCGCATCAGTCCATATTTGTCTAATAAAGTGGAAAAAACCATAAATATGTTGCTTCGCCGTATATGTCGTATCTATTACGCGTCACCGCTGACAACCTGGAAATGTGGGCCAGTGTTGTGTCAAAAATCGATTGGCTGCCGAATGGCGGCCGCGGGAGCGTGCATGGGAGGACTTTAACAAGAATTTAACAAGATTAACACTTTAAAACAATTATTTGTTTGCCCAGAATTATAGTAAAGGTGTGTCTCAGTTGCAACTTTACTTAATAAATGCATTTTAATGGTCAAATTCGCTGCATTTCGCCGGGGCGGTGCAGCTGTTTTGATGATTCCAAGAAGAGAGCAGAACGAAGGTGGGAGTCTAAGGCAAGCCGATTATGTCATTAATAGCTAGTGAAGATTCTTAGCCATTTAGGACATGGTAAATTCAAAAAAGTTCAAGACAAAAACAATAAAGTATAAAGTATAATAAAGAAAGTCCAGTTTTTTTCGTCTTGAACTTTTTTGAATTTGTCATTATAGCCACATTTACCCATTACATGATACAACGGCATGCCTTACTAATACTACTACTCTGCTGCCATCAAGTGGATGAAAGTGGTACTGCTTAAAACAATTGATCAGAATGAATGAAAACAGTCATATCTCAGCCAAAAATTGGTTTATAAATATGAGAACAAATCCATAAATATGTAGCTTCAGCCTATAAGTCGCAGGGCATGCAAATTATGCAAAAAAGTGTGACTTATACGGCGGAAAATACAGAAACACAGAAACAAAAAAGTAAACAAATCCTAGAACTTTACATGTTATATACAATTAAATTTAAACCACTCGGGTAAGTACATATTTTAGAGCGTAAACTAAGCTGCGATAAATGAGTTTTAAGTGCATTTTGACGAGTTTATTTAAAATCTGCGTCAAAGTTCAAGCTTAAATTTTGCCTAAATCTGTATTTGTAAACACTTTAGATCCATATTTTATTCCTTTTTAAGATAATTTAATTAATTACCCGTATGAAGCAACTCATTTCCTTTCAACAACAAACAAAAATAATTGTTGTTTTTTTATTTTTTGGCCTAGACGCCTCGGAGAAAAGTTCTCCCATAAGACCTCGGTTGAGCAGTGAAGTCTCAGTTTTGTAAAAACAAGCCAAACACCAGGCAGCAGATCAAAGCTAGCTCTTACAGGATTAATGATCTTAGAGTCAGCTGCTTTTAGTCGAGTCCGACTCTAAAAGTGCATTTGATCAAAATGTGACAGCATGATGTAGATGCTCCAGTGACTCACACAGCCAGAAGTAGTACATGATGGAGACAATCCGCTGGAAGCGCTGGCTGATCTCCACATTGATGTCTTGGTAGAAGCAGGGGCCCACGGGGCAGAAAGAAGGCAGCGGGGGCCAGTTGTGCTGACGAGCTGAAGAACAGGAAATAGTGATAAATTAACTTAAGTACAAATATATTAGAGGGGAGTGATTAGAAAAAGTTACTGTTGAATACACAAAATCAAGCCAAGATTAAAACAAGAGGAAAAAGATGTTTTCTGGCCAGTAATGGTCGTTTTGAGCATAATTTTCCTTCTGAAGTCTTTATTCCACTCCTCTCTGGTTCTTACTGGCTCCAGGTCCGAGGCTGTGCGACTGCAGCTCCCGTTCTCTCCTCTCCAGGTCCTGGGCTTTCTTCTCCAGCTCCTCCTGCCTCCTCTGGAGCTCTGATGTGGCTGCATTCACCACGGGCTAATACAATGAGACATCGTGGTTAAAGAGCTGCCATAACTTTACATCGGCTTTCACAGAGAGGCGCTCGCTGCCTTTGTGTCAAATTAAACAAAACTAGAGAAATAGCATTTCCTGTGAAAATGCAGTGTGAATGCTCATTGTTGAAGAACTTGCTGAAAACAGCTGAAATTAGCTAAAACATGCTGAAATTGAAGTCCAAGTTAGCAGAAGAAAGCAGAAAGAACACATATTTGCACAAATAGGTTTAAATAAGAAATTAGCTAAACAAGCTGAAATTAGCAAAAAATAAATAACTAAAAATACCGGTAGCTGAAAAGGCAGAAAGTAGCTTAAATTACCAGAAGGAAGTGGAAAGAGCTGAAATTAACAACAACAAAAAATGAGGAATTGGTTGAAAAAGCTAAATTTAGCACAAAAACCGCTAAAAAGTAGCCGAAATATCAGAAAAAGCTGAAGGGACTATAACACACTGAAATTAGCAGAAATAAGTTAACTATGATGAAAGTAGCAGAAATTATCATGACAAACATCAGCTGAAATTAGCTCAAAATTCAAACAATGTAGCTGAAAAGATAGAACAAGCTTAAATTAGCAGACGAAAGCAGAAAAAACACATTTGAAGAAAGAAGCAGAAATGAGCACAAAAACTGGGAATTATCAGAAAAGAGCTGAAATTAGTAACAACAAAAAAACAGCTGAAAAGTAGCTAAAAATTAAGAAAAAGAAGCTGAAATTACAAGTGGAGAGCACATTTTTGCTCAATTAAGCTGAAAAAAGTTGAAATGAGTGCAAAAAATGTGGAATTAGCTGAAAAGGTTAAAATTAGCATAAAACAGCTAAATAGGAGCTGAAAAACTGAAACAAGCAGAAATGATCTACAAGGAGCTTAAATTAGAAAGAAGTTAATTAGGCTGAAAGAAGCCGAAATTAAGCACAAAAAAGTGGAAATTATCTGAAAAAAGTTTAAATTTGCACCAGGAAGCTGAAAGTAGCTGAACCAGAACAAAATGTGAAAGAAGTTAAAGGTTGTGAACAGATTTAAAGATTTGAAAGATATAAAATGAGCTCAATTCATTTTCTATGAGGAAAAAATGTCTGAAAAGGCCAAATAGTGGACAGCTTCATAAAATATTGCAATGGTAAGGTTTAAAATTGTATTAAGATGCTCGCTACAATCATATAATCAGTTTTGAAGGAACTAGCACCAGCTGTTCACAACAAAACACTTCCAGTTCACCATAAAGGACAGTCAGGCACTCTGCAGACGGTTCGTTCAGAATCCACTCGTTTCAGTTAAACTAGCTTCCACTGACGATGCAAACACAGCAGCGTTTGTCGTAACGCTGCAGCTCCAATACCTGGGAGTTGTAGGAGCCGTAGTTTCGAGTTTCTGTGGGCGTTGTTCTGCTGGGTGGAGTTTGTGCAGGCGCAGGTGGAGGTGGAGGAGAGGCGGCTTCGTATGGTGGAGGAGGCTGCGACATGTTTAATTAAAAACAGAAAAAGAAAACGTTCTTTAGCCTGAGCAAAAATCTAATGACGCACTGACCTTTTCTAGTTAAAATGGACAAAGAAATGTTGAAGCAAATTCTTCTGCCATCAATTAAACATGACAGGTGCTCCACAAACACATGCTAATTAAACAGTGAATTAAAAAACTGATTTTGTTGGATCTTATGCATTTCCGCCCCTAAAAACAGCAACAAGTTTAGAGGTTTCAATTAATTGGTTTCAAAGTTGATCTCCACAATACAGAAGCTAAATTAAAGAAAAGATGCCTCACCTGAACAGATTTGATTAAAATACATTTTTTTGTAAATATAACTTGGTGCATTCTGCCTGTCGTTTTAAGCGTGTGCGTTAACTTTTAATTTAAGATGTTTTTTTGTTTTTTCTTTTCAGCCTCATCCATTTAGGTGTTGCTCTGTGCTGATGCAGCTCTAATCTGGTTTCCATCCACAGAATTTGTGTTTTTTCTTACCTGGCAGAGCCAATCCCTCTTAAAATCTCATTTTCTTGGGTAGCGAGCTAAAATTTAATGACCCACACACATAGAGCAATATTGAATCTAGCAAGGAAATATTTACAACCTAATAAATAATAGCTGCTGGCTGAATCAATTAATAAACATACCTGAACTTCAACAACAAAAACTTTATCTTTTTTGTAAGCTGACTTTGCATTTCTGTAACTTGGGGGTAGTTTGTGCTATCGGTAAAATCCTAACAGTTTCTGAAAGCTGAAAATTGCACTTTACAGTCAATATAGGCCAGTGAAACAACCCCTCTGTGTCCCTCCTCCCTCACAAATGTGACATGAACGGGGGAGTCCAGCCAGCTCCTGTCAAATGTGGGACATTCGGGAACCCAGCACCTCCTTATGCGGGACAGGGTCGAAACTGTTTCGCCCAATTTGGGGCTGTCTTTTTCCCCACCTTTTATTTTAAATAGGTTGTCTCGTACAAACTGCTTAAGTCAACCCTGCTTTTTATCTAATAAAAATATATATGTATATATATATATTATTATTCTAACCACTGAAAATGCTTATGAACATTCATCAAATAACGTTTGCTGAAAGTTTCATGGCATATCTCTAAAAATATGTGGAAATTGTGTCGATTTGTATGACAACTTCTGACAGTATTGATAAATCAATACTGTATTATTTAGACACTGTAACTTTTCTCTCCCCTTTTTTTGTTGCCAAAATACATGATCTTGGTATCATTTTAAAGCTATTTAAAATATCTTAAAAAGTTATTCTAAGATAGCTTATCAGTGGCATAAACATGTATCATTCAGCACTATTGATCCAAGGACCATAACTGTTTTCCAAGCAACATAGAAGACAATCAAAACTACTACACAAAATACACAGATGGTGACCAAAGCCAAGCCTTTATCTATAAACTGTATGTTTGGGTGTTAGTGGCAACCAAACCCTGCTCACCCCAGCTGGTTTGTCAAAGGGGTTGTAAAGGTCCAGAGTGGCATATCCTGTGCTGCTGCTGTGCTGAGCCACAGCTGGGTCCTAAAACACAAAGTAATACAGTATAACAGTGATTTATTACATTTGTGAAGTGGTTAAATTTATCAGAAACATTGTTTTCTATGTGAGCAGTTGATAAAAGCAGGTTATTAAGAAGGGCAGATGGGAGCAAAACAACATGGTGGTGGTAGACTGGGCTCTATCAGATCACTCACCTGGAAAGGGTTCTGGTCCTCCATCGGTTCTGGAAAGCTTGTGTATTGTGACATGCCAGTGGTAGCTCACAGGAGACCACCAGTTGTTACCCACGGAAAGGATAAATAAGCAGAAAGTAGGCTGGAGACTTAAAGAAGGGCGGCTAACAGTGTCTGTTTTGCCCGGTCAGATAGCTTCGCGCTCCCGCCGCTCCGTGCTCATCTCCCCGCTGTTTAAAGAACTTCCGGCTCCAACCGGACTCGCTTATTTTACAGTAAATAACGCCAGGGACTGCTCAGAAGTGTAAAAAAAGGTCTGCAAAGTGGATAAATTCTGCTGTTTTCTCGCGCAGGAAGAGCATCAATGGAACAGGAAGTAGACAGCCCTCGAGGACGCGGTCATGTGACTCCCGCTGCGGCACAGAGTCACGTGAGTAGAGTCAGGGGGCGGAGCCCACAGACATGGCGGAGTTTTAAGTTACTTTGTTTACGTTTCTATAGCTCTTGTTTTTCAAACTTTATTTAAATAAACGGAACAGACATTTTTGTTTTTCGTCTACACTAGAGTATTCAAGTTTTATTGTCAGGCGAGACAAAGCTTCATGGAGACATGGCGACCGAGGGAGACAGGAAGCCCGCGTTTTACATGTGTAGCTGTTTAATAAGTGATAATATTTTCCTGGACGGATACAAGCTGCATGTCCGCTTTGTTTCCGAGCAGCAGTTCAGGTTGGACTATCAGACACAGCTGAAGAGGCTTGGCTGTGTCACAGAGCAGCAGTTTGAAGAGGTGCTTCACAAGATTTACCAGGAAGTGGACCGACGACGTGGGCTCGTTGTCACGTCTGCTGAGCGAGCTGCTGTGATAAAACACACGTACAGGCCTCTCCATCCTCATGTCTACCATCTGCAGGAGTCCTACCTTACTCCAAAATTCAAGCAGATTGTTGAGTACTGTCGAAGCAGCAGCGCTAACAAAGAAGGTCTCTTAGAACTGTTGGAAGTGGAGGCAGCGCCGAGGGTCTATCGCTTCCCTGTGTTCCAGAGGAGCTTCTGTGAGGAGCTGATGGAGGAGCTGGAGCACTTCGAGCAGTCGTCAGCCCCTAAAGGAAGACCCAACACCATGAACCATTATGGGATTCTCCTCGATGAGCTTGGCTTTGACGAGGGTTTCATCACTCCCCTCCGTGAGCACTATTTGCACCCAGTCACCTCCTTGCTTTACCCGGACTGCGGGGGTTTCTGTCTGGATAGTCACAAGGCCTTTGTGGTCAAATATGACATGAACGAAGACCTGGACCTAAGCTATCACTATGACAACGCAGAGGTCACCCTTAATGTTTCCCTTGGCAAAGAGTTCACTGATGGCAACCTTTACTTTGGCGATATGAGACAGGTGCCCATATTTGAGACGGAGTGCGCAGAGGTCGAACACAGAATCGGTGAGGGCCTCCTCCACCGAGGCCAGCACATGCACGGTGCCCTGCCCATCTCCTTCGGTCAGCGCTGGAACCTAATTGTCTGGATGAGAGCCTCACAGGAACGCAACAAACTGTGCCCCATGTGTAAGAGGAGTCCATCTCTGGTGGAGGGAGAAGGCTTTGCTGATGGGTTCACGAAACACCAGACACCACTGAATACCTCGTGCACACTGACGTGACCAAATCCTGCTGCTGACAGTGGGGGTCTGATGGCAGGTTTATATGTTCCACATCTTCTTCTTTCGACTTTTCTGTCTTCAGGGGTCGCCACAGCGAGTCATCGTCCTCCATCTCCCTCTGCATCCTCCGTCCTCACTCCAACCACCTCCATGTCCTCTGTAACTACATCCATATATCTCCTTCCTGGCAGCTGCATTTCTAACATCCTTCTACCAGTATACCCACTGTCCCTCCTCTGGACATGTCCAACCATCTCAGTCTGGCCTCTCGAACTTTATCTTCCAGTTGTTCAACCTGTGCTGTACCTCTGATGATACGTTCCACATTGGAATAAATTTTGACTTTGATGTTTTGAATAACTGTGTAATCGTGATTGTTTTCATATAAGTAAATGAATAAACTGTTTTAAAGTATGTTTCCGTGTAAAAGTTATAATTAAAATCACATCCGTAGCTTCTCGGACAGTTTGGAAAAATAGATTTTTTTGTCCAACAGGACTGACGAGCTAACAAACGTAGCTAAGACCAAAGTGGAATGCAGTTCTTGTAAAATGACTCAGACTAGCTCGTCAGTCCTGTTGGACATAAACTCTCCAAACTGAGGAAATTCAAGAAGCTATGTACAGCTGGCAAGATATTATTTATAACTTTTACATTTCTTCAGATTAAGAATGGCCAAACTTGCTCTTTTCGCTGGCTCAATTTTTGATGGTGCCTCAATCGAAGATCAAAATTCAGCCCAGCTCAATACAAAAATCGACGCAGACATGTTTTAGTATCTTACACCGTTTTATAATGTAGCATGTTTTTTTTATCACTTCTTATACTTTAAATTTTATATGCTTTTATTTGCATGTTTATTGTTGTGTGTACCTCGTTTATGTTTTTTTGTTTAAAACAGGTTTCTCTTGTAAATGAGTCCTCGAGACTCAATGAGACTAATCTGTATAAATAAAGGTTGAATGAAAAAAAATGGTATGATTATTTTTTATTTTAAGCATCTATTAGTAAAGTGTAAAAAAAAATAGGCTAAAGTAAACTATGGAACTACCTAAAAACTTAGGACTTAACATTTCATTATTATGAGACAATATCTCACAGTTATGACATCTTATATATATATATTATGTTTTATATTTATTTTCTTCCTTTAAGGCTAATGGTCTCTGCAGTTTGTGTTTCTCAGCAGGTTAATGAGCGAAATGCAATTATTAGTTGTTCCAGTAGATGTCACACTTGTTAATTTCTGACCTCAGATGTGATTCTCAGGACAGAAGTGGGATTATAAATTCCTTTAATCATACTGCAAAACAGAAAATACAAAAGTTTTTATGATAATAAATAAACAGACATCAACACAAATTTTGAATATCGTCAAAGAAACCTGTAAAATTTGCCTAATCGAGCTCAGAAATATTTACACATATTTTAAAAATCGGTCTTCATCACATTATGAATAAACTTGGGCTTGTGTCTCATTTGAGCATAGGAAGCACATACATCATAAATGACCTCAGAGTCACAGGTTGAGCTGCAGCAGATTACAGTTTCACTTTCAGCAGCTTGTACACCTTGCACAATCCAGCCTAGTTTTTATTTTATTCTACGAGTCACCTGGGTCACATGGGTGAGGACCATCATGAGATTTCACCATAAACACATCGACCAAACTGTAGACCATCTGGCGTATACCGATGCTGTACTTTTACTTTTACTTGGGATCTTTTTACATTTCAGAGTACACCGATTAGATTATCTGGCATTTGGTGCTATATACATATATAAAATAGATGTCAAGGATCATCAGGATCACATTAAGGTGTCACAAAAAGCTTACCATTAACACGCAAATATTACTTTTTCTCTCCTTCATCAGCTATTTATTTTTTATTTCTTACAAAAAGAAAATTGTACTTTCATTTTACAGCCTGCCCACTGAGTTTTTTTGTACTTTTATTTCCCTAGATTACAACTTTAACACTAAAAATATTAGGAAACACCTTTTTTAAATCCTATTTAAAACAAAGCTGATCCTAAAAATAAATAGGAAAATAATTTTCACACTCTTTGACCTGCTGGGTTAAAATCTTTAAAGTCCACAACCACTGGCTTGGTCGGAGATGAGCTACGTCATTTTTCACTGCCATTTTAGATCAGAAGTATTAAGTAAAAACTACTTGTAATAAAATGTTTAACGTGGTTAACAGTTAATAACTTTAGTTTGCTCTTAACTGTGAGTTCGGTTTCATAAAATGACAACTGGTGCTAGCTGGCTGATGCTAGTTAGCATTAAAGTCAAGTCAGATTTATTTATAGAGCTCATTTAAAACAGAAACTGTTACCAAAGTGCTTAACAAAAATATCACAACGTCAAATAAAAAGTAGCAAAATATATTTACAGCACATGTGTAGATGAACAGATGCTCAGATATATTCATCAATTAACACGGATTTCTCATTTTTCTGGACTGAATAAAACGTGCATTGAATTTAATGAAATGCAAACGTGAGACGTCATTTATCTTTGACCCATCAAAATGAATGCGGTCATTTATTTACAGAATCAAAGTTTAACATCAAACATTTACATTAATTTGGCAAAATATGAAAACACATAATCAGGAAAACCATACGGCCATGATTTTCCGTTGCTTCACCACAGACATTTATGAAAACTGTACAATTATCCACACGGCGGTGGATGAGCACTTTACACAGACATTTCTAAATTATCTGGAAGGATTTCTACTTTAGAGAAGAATTTAAAGATGAAAAGTGTCATGAACCAGAGGCCGGATCGCAAACAACAACAACAACCACTGAGAGGGTTAAAAGATTTATTGTGAAATAAAGTAAAACTCTGGAGTAGGTCCGGTTCTGGGCTGGTTCCGATCTTCTGATTGGTAGTTCGTGATTGGGTAGTGTTGTAGTGGCGGGCTGCCAGTAGAAGTAGAACTGATGTTAAGGTCCACTGGAACGGAGTCCAACAGGCTTGCAACTAAAAGATAAAGGTTAGTAGATGCAGGGGGAAAGAGACTAATTGGGGAAATGAATCTGTGGGAATCAGATTCAGGGGTAAGGATAAGTCCGTGATACAGAATGAGCTTGACCTTTAATCCGTGATCCAAAAAACAGTCAGAAGGGAAAGGCAGAGTTCATACCGTGAAGTCAGTTGTTCAGCAGAAGTATCCAGTACGTGATCCAAAAAGAGAGTAAAAAAAAAAACAAGAGCATGAGTCGGTACCTGATCAGATGAGCAAAAGCAGACGAGGGCTGAGGCAAAAGCGTGGTCGTGGTCAAGGCAAGGGTCATGAACGTGATGAGTCAATCAATGGAATGCTGGAAAGTCTACTGCTGATGAGACAGGATAGAGAATCTGGCCCAGACTGAGAGGAATGAGTGAGCTTAAGTACTGACTGGACCAGGTGGTGGAGCTGTGGGATAATGAGCGGTGACAGGTGACATGAGTTGAGTGATTACTGAGTGTGCAGCATGACAGAGGAGCTGACAGAGAGCAGAGCTATGACAGAAAAGATGAAGTTTAAAGGGGGTGAAAGATGGTGTTTGAGGGAGAGTGTTGAACAGAACGGCACTCTCCGGGCTTTCTTCAGCTTCTTCCTTACAGTACACTTAGGTGGTGAAATCGACTCTTTTACCTGGAGATGTCTCAGGCGAGATTCCGTTTAACGCACCCTTTCAGCGTCTCCGTAGGATGGCTGTGAATCGTCCGGAGTAATGGCGAGATTCTGTCCAACACAAGCTCACCTCAGTGGAAAATGTTATAATCCCATGAAACTCGGAAGAGCTCTGTGGTCATGTCAGGGTCTTCCCGGCTCCCACAGCAACTGCCAGCACTAGGACATATCAGAACTGTCCGCACCGCCGAACTTCTCCAAACCCACAGAACTGGGTAAACCAGGAAGTACCGACATTTTTAAAGAGCTCTTTTCCCGGTTCATTCGGGAGTCTTCCCATTGGTCAGTACCGACCAGACAGGGGTGTGTTTTGTGACGTAAGAGGTTACTAGGAGTCAGAAAAACAGCAAGAATGTTATTGAACAGATTAAACTGTTCTCACAGACAGAGAGAGAGTTTTGTTTTGGCGAGTTTTAGAAACAGGTGCCAAAACCCCCCTGTTGACGTCTGAGAGGATGTAAAAACAAGGCAGTTGTTCCAACACATGTCTGCTTCGATTCCTGATCCTGGAAAACGCACACTTGCTCATTCAAAGACAGAAATCAGAAAATGCATAATTACTCTGTAACAGCTTTAACATGAATTCTAACTTTGCATGAGAATTAAAAATCATTACACTGTTTCAGTTAATAAAATCGATTAGTTCACTGCAACATCTAAAATGGTTTGAACTAAGACACTTTGATTATCAACATTTGTAAAATAGTAATGATAATAGAAAAGAGAGTGTTCTTCCACTTGAATTTTCAAGAAAGAAAGTCTCAGGATGGGTGAACCTGTATTTCTGGATTCAAATCAATGAAATGACAGTTTCTGTCCCACAAGGTTCTTAAGGTCAAGGGTTTTGACCTTAGGCTTAGTCTTGACATCAGGTTAAGTTCACTACACATGGAACAAAAATATAAAACAGAAACAATGAAATACTTAAACAGCAATACCCCAAGTTATTAGATTGTTATATTTATTAGTAGCAATAATTGGACAATGTTTTCATTTTAAACCTATTTTTGTGCAGAAAACTTTACCCTGTACATGCTGAGTCAAACTCCTAGCCCAACCCTGCTGAGTTAAGATTATCCCCGGTTGGCTTGGTTTAAATTTGACCCGGTGCTGATAAGTTTACTTTAGCAAAGTTTATTCGCTTTTTATAGTGAACCATGAAGCTAAATTTGATAAACCTGCTCTGCTTCGTTTATCTTTATGACCTCAGTTAGCTCCAGTTGTGATTGTCAGTTGACGCCTGTGACTCATCTTTTGCTTTAACGATCGGTCCAAGTGGCCTCGAAGCAAGAGCTGAACTCGAGCGCCTCCATAGTCCTAAAACCACAGCATTCCTCCTCTGCCAATCAAGCTATGCAACGCTCCATGACATCACTGCCTGAGGAATGAACTGGCATAACAGTTGTGTGTGGAAAGTGACCCGCCTTAATGGGAACGGCCATACGCCGCTCCAACGAGACGTACAATCATTCATCTGCGTGTTTACAGTAGATGTTTTTTTGGAAACCGTTCCATCCCTTCCAGGGTGCAGTTTGAGAACCCTTTTTTTGCTTCATTTATTGTCTTGCAGTATAATTACACAAGTTGAACTTTAAATCGAGTGCATGATTCGAGATCTCTCTCCTCCAGGCAGATCTAACCACTGATGATAATGAGACCATTCATCCTGAAGGAGGCCATGTGCTCCAGCTGCTTGCTCAGCGCTGTGTGTGCGTGTAAACTGGGAAACGAATCAGAGGGGAGCTGGTCTGTGTGGCATCCGAAAACCTGGAAAAACCATCACTGCCGGTGAACCATAGTCGTGCTCTAATCAGGAAATGCCTGAAAGGTCATTTTTCACAGCTAGCCACAAGCTGAACGTGGGTGTTAAGTTTTAGCTGCTTTCAGAACAAACATCAAATCTATTATTTAAAGCCTAAACTGATTCCACACACAGCCACCTATATATGCTATCCATTATCATTAAAAAATATGGAGAAAGTTGCAACTAAGTCTAAGAGGAGGCCTGCTATTTGTCATACTTGTGAGAAAAATCAGAAGGTAGAGTGAAATGGATTTCTTGGAAGACTCCTGATGCCATAAAATACTTTTCTCATGGTCAAACTCTCCTTTTCTCAGACTCGTTTTCCTTTCCGTCCACGCTCCCGGTTCCCCCTCGCCTGTGCCAAATGTCTCTGGTTACAGAGTTTAGAAAATATGAACTGTCTTCTGGAGTTTTCTTTTATACTAATCGTGCACATATTGTAGAGAGCTTTGATGGCAGAGTGCACACAGAGGACAAAAAGCTGGAATACAATTGGAAAACATTAGGACAAGAAGTGGAGGGTCGAGAATGAAAGGCAGACGTGTAAGGTAATACGCAAACAGGCAAAAAGGGAGTAAAACGTGAAAGAACATCTAAAAAGCAACAAACAAGCGGTAATTTCATATAAAACAGTTTATTACATTTAGAAAAAAAACAAGAAGGACACTGGTAAAAGACACTTTTAAGGAATATGAAACAGTTAAATCATACATTAAGAGTACAATTTGATGCTGAAGACAATTGTGCAGAGTTCAGCTCTTTGAAAAAGGCCCCAAAGAACAATCCATGTCTTGGAGGAGTTTTTTTTTTTTTTTTTAAACAAGCTGAGTAAATGTAAACCATGCGTGAAGACGTATTGAGTGATGGCCCAAAGCGAAAAACGTCCTCATTCCCTCTCGTAAACTCTGGTGCAGACTACGTCGCCAGCAGTCATTGTCTGAAGGAAAACAACAACAAAAATAAGCAATATTGTAACTTTTGGTACAGTTTTGAGATTATAGATAATTTTCAATGTTTTTAAGCAGTGAGCAATGACTTGCAGATCATAGCTTTGTTTTTTTACCCATGGAGAAGGTAAAAACAAGGCTTTTGCTTTTTGAACAAACTTCTGTAAGTAAAAGCAAATATATTCGACTTTGTTAAAGATGCAGAAGAATATTAAAAATATGAAATGTTAGAAGGGGTAAGATAAGAACAGATGTCTCATTGCTTTGGTTCGATTGAAAATATTTCTACATACTTAAGGATTTGTCGAGGTCACAAGATCCCCAGAGAGTTATGAGTTGAACTGTTGTTCCAAATGTTCATCTCGTCAAATCCCTTTATTCTGTCTTCCTTTATTCGTGCAAATCCCAAGATGAGTTCACTAGCATTGTGTCATCTGAATCCAATTTGATTTGTGTTTGAATTTATGATTTGTATTTGTTGTTTTCATATGAGATGACTTTTGTTGCAAACTGGAGATAACAAGTGGGTTAACATCTCAAAGCTACATTTATTTTGCTCTTGTGATTTTTATATATTCTGGTTTGTGTAATACGTCATTCTAAACAATAACGGTTAATTGTAGGGTGAACTAATGTTCAAATGTATGAGTTTGTGTTTAGCACGACTCCTCTGACGTCATTATTTGGCGACACTTTAAAAAGGAGGATATCACAGTCATGGCATGATAGGTTAATCATGCACAAGTTAAAAATTGAGCCAGAGAAGGTGCACAAGGCTTATGTTACGTAAGTCAATGTGGTTGTGGAAAACAACAGTTGGTGCCATGATTCATCCAGTGGCATGGCTACCTGGCCAGTCAATGGCCAATGGTCAGTGGTTGATGTGAAATCAACAGCTCAGCTTAGCTCACTGGGAGCCTCAGCCAGGTTTGTCCTAAGAACCAAGATAGAAGTGAGTAGGATCACTCAGTGAAAAGCCTCTGAACCTTTGCTGGGTCAACCCAAGTACGGCTGATTGAAGCTCCTGGGAAAAGGACTAAACTGTCTGCAGCTAGAACTGGTTCCACATGACACTGAATCCAAGGATTCTAGTCCACTTCATTTATATATTTTGTTGCCAACACATCTGTGATCTCCCTCTGTCTCCAGTTCAGTTCAGTTTATTTATAAAGTGCCAGGTCACAAGAGAAGTTGTCTCGGGGCACTCTACAATGGCTATGGGTAATCGCATGGGACTTGTATATCAGAGTCTTTCATTTCCTATAAAATTATTAAACTAAGGTGTTTCATTTGATGCAAACATCTTGTCTCGGGGCACTCTACAATGGCTATGGGTAATCTCGTATATCAGAGTCTTTCATTTCCTATAAAATTATTAAACTAAGGTGTTTCATTTGATGCAAACATCTTGTCTCATGGGAACTCTGAAAACTAAAGACCCCAGTGAAAGATAAATATTCTAGAAACATGAGACCCACCCAGAAACCTGGAGGCGTAACACCCTGAGGACTTAGCACACCCTAAAGCGTTCACTTCTTATTCATATTAATTTACTTTTTTCATTCTTTATACAGTGTTTTATACAAAATAATTACCAGTATGAGCTCTCCATCATTGGTCAGTTCTCGAGTCCACGTTGTTTTAGGTCCGTCGCTCTTCTGTAAGGTCTGTTCACAGCTGATTTTTCGGTCTGTTTCCCATTTAGGAAAACTCTACAAGGAATCGAAAAAAACAAACGCTTACATCACTGAAGTGCTTTTATACTTATTGTTTTATTTGATCAAAGTTTGGGTTTGGTCGTAACTGAGGGTCAAATTGCCGTTTGACAGTATCCAAGAAAAATGTTTTTATGGCCTGTCAGGACAAGAAGGAACATATGAACATCCCTCATTCAGCACAACGAAATAAAAAACAGATCTCCGGATTATTACTCAGCTCTGGAGTTGCACTGAAATGATTTCCATATGTTACTTTTGTGAACTGTGGCGAGTTATGACGTCATTGAGCCAATCATTACACAGGAATGCTTTATGAAGACAAAATGGACGTACCGTGCAGGGCCGACCATCTACTGTGGCCTCGCTGAAGGACTGACCCACGGTGAAGGAAACATGGGTGGTGCGAACGCTGGTGGAAGTCTTGATAGAGAGCGTCTCTTCTCGTTGGGTGATTTCCACTGCCGGACTGGAGGCCGCCGCCACAGCAATCTTTCTCAGGAACACATTCACGCCTGATGATTCACAAAAAAAGAACGAGTGTCAGACTGGCAGCAGTGGAAGGATGATTTGTAATGAGTGGAATGAATTTAATCACAGCAGTGCATGCCGGTGGTTTTGAATGTTATTGCCGAGGGAAGTCCATCACAGCGAATCTTCCTGTAACGTAAGATGAGTGAACGTTTTGCACATATTGATGCACTGTGCAGCAATTCAACAATGACTGAAGAACGATGGGAAATTTCTTTTTTACTTGGAGATAATGGAAACTCATATTTAGATATTTAAGAGTCGACAAACGTCTTGAAAAGCAAAGACAGTCTAGGGTTCATCTTTAAATGTGTTTTCTTCTGCATGTTGTTTGAATATGTTTTCCTGTGATAGTTTGGCCATGTGGTAAGAATCCCTGTCAACTTTTCAATTTCATTCATTGTAAGGTGAACCAATGTTCAAATTTATGAGTTTGCGATTAGCACGGCTCCTCTGATGTTATTTTTTTGGTGACATCCAATAAAGGAGGACGTCAAGGTCATGGCATGGCGCTCAGTCTATGGTTAGTTATACACAAGTTAAAAGTCTGCCTGGGGAGGTTTTCCAGACATGTTTAACTGGGAGAAGACTATGTCTCTAGGCTGGCCTTTGAGTCTTCCCAGTGGTTGTTAAAAAAGATGTCTGGGCCTTAAAGCTTGAGCTGCTGCCTCCAACACAGACAGGCAACATATGGCCCTAGGGCCAAAAGTGGCTCCTGAACAATCGTAAACTGGCCCTGAATGTCCTTAATTGAAAATAGTGCAAATTTTAAACGAGCTGATTCATGAAACTTAAGGAAGTCTAAATTAAACATCAAAAACCTTTGGATTAAGAAAGGCTAAAACTTTTTTTTTTTTTAAGTTTTTCTGTTTAAAGAACTAGACTGAAACGTGAAAGACTCCAAAAAAGCAAATAAATAACTTTTTTTTTTCATCCTTAAGCTAACAAATATATTGCCACAAGAGCCAGTTTACAGAAAGTAAGTCTTAAAATCCTAAAGAGTTTATTTTTATCTTTATTTAACCAAGCAAATCCCATAGAGATCACAGATCTTTTTTGCAAGGGAGGCCTGGGCCTGAAGGCAGACTAACATGCATGTTTTTGGTCTGTGGGAGGAAACTGGAGTATCTGGAGAAAACCCACGCAAGCACGAGAAGAACATGCAAACTCCACACAGAAAGACCCCAGGTCCAACCGGGGATTGAACCCAGGACCTTCTTGCTGTGTGGCAGCACTGCTAACCACTGAGCTGTCGTGCTGCCTGTATTGGGGAGACATGTTTTTAACAAACGTGCTAACTGCTACACCAAGAAAAAGGCTAAAATAGTTTCCAGATTATTTGTCTTGAAGATTTATTGTCCTGTTCTCTGTGAGACCCTTCAATTGCTTTAAATATATTCAAGTTCAAGGTTCTTTATTGTCATTTGCATCACATGTGGTACATGAGGTGGAACCAAACTGTGTACGCAAGTTGAGTTACACCCTAAAATAGCAAACATAAAGTATAAAAAGAAACAGTATATAAGGATCTAAGATATATGCTAAATGAATGTCAAACGATAAGCTAAAAGACCTAAGATCTACACTATTAATAATGTAAAATAATATGGTAAATTAAACAGAAGCCCAAATATGAGCCTGTAAGTAGATGGGTATGAATGATTACAACAGCATGAGATCAGCAGCATGGATAATCAGCAGCACAGTTAATTCACATATCACCAATTAAATTAATTCATATTGATTTGGCCCTCTGAGAAAAAAAAAAAGTTTCCCACTCTTGTTCCACAACAAGACTCCAGCACAAGCCGAAGATAATGAACGGACGGACGGACCAAAATCTAAAATGCTGACCCACGCTTCAGACGGTGCTTGCTAGCCTGTGCTTAATGGGAAAAAACACATAACAACTGGAACGCTCCTGTAAAGAGACCACATTAAAACTTAGATTTACCCCAACACAAGTCCAAACCACCCAGTATATGGTAAAAATGTAATCAATGTTTTAACCTTATTATCATTTTTATTCAAACAAATTAGTATTAACAATGTCATAAA